CGTTTTACCCGAGTTTCCTGAAGTTCTGAGACCGTTATAAGGATTAAAATTACAATTGTAATTGTGCTGCTATCCGCTGAGAGAATGGGCTAAAGTGGCGTTATTTTTGTTTTTTGTCAAATTTGTGGTGACTTAGAACATTAAGAAAACTTTTAAGTCAAAAACAATGTCTTATTAATTTTTAATAAAATTTTTCTTAATTTTTAATAAAATTAATAAAATCCATTCTACTGCTGAGTAAATGTAGAGTTTTTCAAATTAATATATCCTTTTTACGAAAAGTTTATTGTATCATTTAAAAAAATTATAAATAAACCTTTATTGAAATACGAGTTTACCCCTAGCTCAGGTTGTCGATTTTAATGATGCTTAACAATCTTGCTAAGTTCACTGCATATTTTTTAATTTTTTCTCTTGATAAGTCACTGGGTATTTGCATATTTTCTCGACATTTCATGACCCCTAAAGTACGAAAAAATAGATCCCTCGTTTCCGCTATCTATCCGCCGTCTGTCGCCTGTCAATTTTTTATGTAATTTGGGAATATCGTGTAGACGGTAAAACTCTAACCAAAATTTGGCTATTCATCCCCACCAATAATGGGATGACGTCATTTTCAAAATGTACATTAGTAAATCTTATTTAAATTTTATAAAACTAGACACTTCTGCACTTGTCTTTTATAAATCTGCATTGAGTTTTTACCCTAGAGATTCAGAATTTTCGAAAAAAAATCAAAATTTTATAATAACATTTTACAGTCTATTAGGTTTGAAATTTCGAAATCCAATGCTCTGAAATCATGATCAAAATTTATTCAAATAAATCTCACTTTTCTGAAAAATTATCTTTTTCTTGCGATTTTGGTTTTCTGATAACCTCTATAAAGTAAAAACCACTGGCGTAAATAACGGTCCCGCAGCTTATTTGAGTTGAATTTTTTTCTTCAATTTATCTTCAATTTTTAATTTTCTTTTGAGTTTTCATTTTTAAATTTTCCAGCTTTCCGATTTTCCAACTTTTGGACGTTTCAGTTTTTAGATTTTGCAGTTTTTTGATTTGAAAGTTCACGAGTCAATTTAAAATTTCAAAATTGTTGAAAGAAAACTATGTATATAAAAAAAAAAACAAAGATCAAGCCCCACCCACCCGCTCCGATCTCAATTATAATGAGTTTTTCATTCATATTCAGACCGAAGGGCGGAGTTTAATTGTAACATCAACATTTCTCTAAATAATTCTACCCTTTTAAAAACATATTTCATATGGTAATTTCTTGTACAGGAATGAGGATTTTGCAACTAAACTCCGCCCTTCCGCTCACGATGAATAAAATATTCATCACAATCGAGAAGGGGTGGGTGGGCGGGGCTTATATTTGGTCCATTTTTTCTTAATATACGAAGTCTTATTTTCCAACAAGAAACTAAAAACATGTTTAACTATCCTGTTTTCTATTACAGCGCATTACCAGTGCAAGAACAAAAAAAATGAAAGTGTTAAGTTCGGCATCGAACCCCCGACACAATGTCGCTGGTTCACCGAGTAAGCTGCTGAGTCACTGAGCCACTGAGCCACGAGTGGTGGTAAGTAATATAACGTTATTATAACGTGCAATTTTTTTGCGAAAATGTGCACGTTAAGCGAAAAACCTGAAAGCGGATTCGTATACTACAAGTATAGGAATATATTTTTGCATAACATTCAACTCATTTTAAAATACGGTTCAGTGAGATGACGTCATCAAATTGTTGGTGGAGATGATTAGCCAAATTTTGGCTAGCATTTAACCATCTACATGATATTTCTAACATACATACAAAATTTGACAACAATCGGTCCAGCAGTTTCGGAGATTACGAAAGTGGCAATTCGTCCGATGTACTCGATTACTATACTTCCTTAGCTTACGCTCGTTATGACGTTATCTGATACTTTTACCGAATACAATATGTTCTTTAAATTTTATAAAATATCTTTCTCCTGCAGGTATGATCTATGAATCCGTGTTGAGTTTTTATCCTAGACATCTAGATCTTTGAAAATAAAAAATCAAAATTGTATATATTATATATTTTACAAATTATCTTTGAAATTGCAAAATCGAATACTGTGAAACCTTGCAAACATTTTAGGGTTATTGGAAGCATGATAAATCGTCAATCAAAACTTGTTAGTTTATGCCTCCCTCCAAATGATAACGTCATATTATAATTTTGACAACTAAATATTCTTCAAATTAATGGTATTTACGCTAGACATTGAGTTTTTTAGAAAAAAAAAAACGTGTGTGCTTAATCAATCAAGTTTCATTCTCTTTTAACATAAATACCGCCGCTGATGCTTCCGATCTGAAATGCTAATAGTTGGAAGTATAGACATAAACAGTCGAAGTTCAGCATGTACTGAGAAATTGAGAATACTTTCTTCCAGTTGGTTATCTAAGTACGTTAAATATATATTATCCGCGTCCCTTTGGAATTGGCACCCTCGAGGTGTGGGAGGGGGGGCAGGGGATATCTTATTTGCGCCACTGATTTTTACTTTATAAAGATTATCACAAAACAAAAATCATAGAATCAAATTTTATCATTTTTGATTTTTTCTAATTCATGTTTAAAAATGGAGAAAGTAATTTGATTTCTTGGTCTAACTCCGTTTCAAACTTTTTTTGTGGAATTAATTCTAAATTTTCTTGACACATTTACGATTGTACATAAATGGTATCGGTGGTGGCTCGAAAAAAACAAATGTTTTCGACTGTACATTTTATTTGTTCTGTTACATCAAATTATGGATTTATATCTGAAAAAAATTTACATCTTGAAACTAAACTTTGTCACTGAAACATTGTGTTAATTTCGTAAGTACATGAACATTCTGAAATTTTCTAAAAAAAAAAAGAAATAAAAATGGACTACTAAAAACAAAACCATTTGGTAGTTCGATATTATGTACTCGGTACGTCGTCTTCATTATCTTATTTTTTTAATGTAGGCATTTTTTAATACTGGAGAAATTCCCCACTAATCCTAACCACCCAATTACAGGAAAAACTAAAAATTAAAATTAAAAATTAACAATAACAAGAAAGTAAAACTAAAAAGAAAAGAAAATTCTACCCATATAATGATTGCTTAACACAACTAACAATTTTGTTAATCGAGTCGAAATTTATATCGCATAAGTGTGAAATTTGATTGAAATAACTACACATAATACTAACTGGAGATCTTCTTAAAACGTTAGTTCTGTCAGCAGTACAATAAAATACATGATTATGGCGTGCACTAATTCTTGGTACAAGAAAATTTAAATAATGAAGCAATTCAGGGCAGTCTACTTGATTTCTAACTAAAAAAACCAAAAATTTAATGGCGATAATAATTCGTCTTTTATGTAATGATAAAAAATTAAATCTTAATAATAATAACGAGTGGTCATATCCTCGACAAGGATAGACCCCATCCAAAAGAAAAGACATAAATTTTAAGAACAAGCGTTGAACCGATTCTATATGATCAATATGGTTTTGATAAATTGGAAACCAAATTAAGGCACCATATTCAATTCTCGATCTGACTAGTGTGAAAAATAGAGCCTGTAACGTGTCGACACGCTTAAAGTCACGACAAATTCTGTAAATAAATCCATACGTCCGAAAGCATTTGGAAACCATATCATTTATATGATCGACAAAACTAAACTTACAATCAAAGAGGATACCAAGATCTTTAATAGACTCACATCGCTTAATTAAAGTACCATCTATATTGTAAGAAAAGAGTATAGCATCATGTTTTCTTGAGTAAGTTACGATGGAGCATTTATCAAGATTTAAGTAAAGTCGATTAACTGAGCACCATTTGATATCTATGATGTATCTACTGCTACAAGACATATACTTAGTGGTTTTATTGACTTTGACTTTTCCAACCTCCTCATCTGTGACCAAATAGCATCTTAAACCAATACCGCCAAAAATAAATGAATTAATATGTTTAAATTTAAGAAATTGGTCGCAGAATCCACTACTTTTCTAGTCACATCGCTTTTGTCCTTTCAGTTATAAAAGGGCTAGAAAAAATGTTCAAAAGACTGGGTATTAAGGTTGTTTAAACATCCGGATAGAACATTTAAAGCCTTCTTGGAAGCTCATCCAACGATAAAGTAGAGCTTAATGAAAAGTCGAGGATTTATGAAATAAGCTGTAACGATTGTGATCAAAAATATATTGAACAAACAAAAAATTCACCTGAAAGAGAGGTTGGAAAAATCAACATATTTTTGAATATGACCACAGAGTAGACATCAACTTTTTATAATTAGTTAAGTCTGTCAATAACTGTAAATTCTACACATACACGAAAGTCTAACAAATATAAAAAACAAAAATTATGTAGTGAATTCAGACCTCGGGCTTATTCTGATCTCGTCCATCTACACACCCTTGTGCAGTCAGAAAAGGGGAAGGGTGGGAGTAGTATGGTAGATAGGTTATAAATTAGTTTGGTTTTGTGGAGAGGATGTCAACCTGGTTGCCGAAACGCCAGTTTAATTTAAAACCTTGAATATTTACATGTTTTTACATTGTTGTCAATAACTAATTTGTAACACGGAGAAACTGAATTATTTTTTCTACAATTAAATGTTTCTTTCAATAGTTCTTATTCGCAAATAGACATAATAATAGAAATATGGAGATTTTTTAAATACTGCATGATCTGACATAGTAAAAAGGATGCTTATTTTTAATCTATACATATTTACTATTTAAATTATATTTGTGTACATTTTGAGTATTTCTATGAACTTCTGTTGCGTTAGTTACTTATAATCATTAATATTATTTCAAGAAATGAGATAAAGTTGCTTTCCAGCTACACAGAACTCCAAGAATCTGCAAGTGGTTACATTTAAAACAATAAAAGAAAAAGTTCAGTTTGAATGCGCGAGCGCTCCCTATGCGATCGATAAAGTAGAGAGCTGTGGTCAGCTGTGCCACAATTAGTTGTGTCAAATGTCAGGAAACATAACCTCAAAAGCGTAACTGTTTAGAAGTCAATATTTACACAGAATAAATAAAATGAGTGACACAGTCAAGGTATGCTTTACATGCCGCAAAAACGACAGCAAAAAGTTTTACAATATCCAAAATTATGACACAGATAAAATCTCCTATTTAGATAAATTGAAAACTTGCATAACACCAGATTTAGTAAGTTGTTTGTGTTTTTTAATGTTCATTTATTATTCGAGTCAAATTTCAGATAGAAAATGATGATATGGAGATGTGTGGGCTATGTGTGAAACATTTACGGATTTGTTACAAGTTTCGATTAACTGTATTGACCTCCCAGGAATACTTACGGAATAATGATGGTAGTGAGGAACTAATTAAAAAAGAAGACGTGTGTGACGATTTTAAATTTGCTCTAAGTGATAGTGATCTACAATACGTGAAATCAGAGAGTGATTGTGACGATGATTTTGTTAATAGTGATAATTACTCTAGTGATGACTCTTCTAGTAAAGACATTGTAAGCTCTTTACCCAAAAGACACAAAAAACGGAAACACCACACGAAAGTCTCAGGCGACGAAATTTTTACTTGTGAGTACTGTGTAGCTCAGTTTGGTAAAAATTGGCAATTACGTAAACACCTAACTCGTGTCCATAATGAAGTTCGAAAATTCGTGTGTTCCTATTGTAGTAAGGAGTTTAAGCAAGCTTACCACTTAAAAGAACACATTACTTCTCACACTGGTGAAAAGAATTACACATGTCCAATTTGTGAAAAGAAATTTCAGAGACAGTCATCCCAAAGAAGACACATCAAATCTCATGACGCCCCTCCTGGACATAAAACTAAAAGAACCCCGTTTTTGTGCACCATTTGTGGTAAAAGTTTCCCATTTTCTAATGGGGTTCAAAGACATATGCGCATCCATTTTGGTATTAAAAACTTTGAGTGCAAACTGTGCAATAGGAGGTTTACGCAGTCGACACATTTACAAGTGCATATGAGGACACATACTGGAGAAAAACCATACATTTGTGAAACCTGTGGAGAAAAATTTTCTTTAAAATCGTGCATGCTTAAACACATTAATAATAGGCATTATAAGTCAAAAAATTTAGTGGATGATCTTCCCATTTTTTATTTCCCAAAAGAATTTGAACAGAGCTGAGTGTAGATAGATGTTAACAAAAAGTAAATTATGTATGGAAATTAGATATACATATTTTGACTTGGTTTTGAAAATTGTATTCACTGCATCGTATTTTTTTAGCTAGATGTGAAGGGAGTAAATTATGTTTGGGATTATGTAAGAAGGGGGAAATATATTTTTTTAACCTAGCTAAAGAGTGAATAGACAGATTTTTAAGCTTTGTGTAATTTGTTGCAGGTTATTACTAATTCCAAGTGCCAAACTTATTGGTCCTCGAAATCAAATCAAATGTTGGTAGCATTAGTGGCATGGTTGAGTTCCCTAATGCGGTTTGACACACCAACACAGTTTTCCTAACCATGAAAAAGAAATAAATTTTCCAAAATTACAAACAAAAATGAAAGATTTGTCCGAATCGTCAACATTTTTGTCAATTTAATTTGTCCACTAAAAGTTTTCATAACATGCTAACTGAAAATATGGCCTATCATGAATAAACGAATAAATTTGGCATTTGGTTAAAAATGGTTAAAATCATGGTGTAAGAAAACATGGTATGATATTGCGCAAAGCATACGAAAATTCATCCATCGGAGCCATGTCTTCGTGTATCATGGTTAAAATGTTGTGTTAATAATGCATATAAATCAATTTGTACAAATTGCAATAAATTTTATTTTAAAATTAAAGAAATTTTGTTGTGAATGCATTTTATAACTATGTGTGCGTAACGCGGGAGACCTATTTCTTCATACTCTAGGAATCATAAAATGTCGAGAAAATGTAAGAGTAGTTGTTCTCCATTCATATTACAAGTAAGAAGTAAAACAATTAGATGTCGAGTAGCAAATAGTAAGCATATTTTAAATTCTTTAAAATATTATACATGTGTTTATACCTCAAATATTTTTTCGTGTTTTTTTTTTCAAAAGTTATTTTGATTTTAAATATTCTTATATTTTTAAACAACAATAATAATATTAATAATAACAATAATAATTTAATAAAAAATTATATATATTTATATATTTAATAAAATCATAGGGAGCAGTAAGTTGGATATCAGAACTTCAACAACTTCATTAAAAACTCACAAAAATTTGTTCCGAAAGATATCCCAGATCGTGTGAAAAGTCCTTTGGTCTATCTAAGTATCTTTGTCACGTCTTAAATTTGAATTTTAATAGGAATTTTAACAAACAATGATACAATGGGGAAAAGTGAATGAACAGCAGGTAAATTAGTTTCCTGACTTGTGTTTTTTAGAAAGTATTGATTTTTATGTGATGTCATCTACATTTGAGTTATGCCGTCATTTGATTTAGTTAAATTAAATAAAATATATTTTGTAAAATAATTAGTAATTACTAATTACATATACCTAGTAGTGATTGTTCATTTAAATTTATTTAGTTTATGAGCTGCCTATGTAACGTAGGTAGCGTAATCACGAAAGAGGTAAACAACTATAACGACAAGCATATGGCACGTAACATACGTTCAGCCAGTTTCAAACACACACTTCCCACTAAACCTACAATTACACAACAATAAAATTAGCAGTTGATAATTCCAGCTTTAGACCGACTTTTCAAGATACCTATCAAACTCACTCACAGAGTGTACACACAGCACAATACACTATTCCACTATAATTAATGAATAACAATTTATTTGCCATTGGTGGTCCTGAAAGTGAAAATACTTGTGCCAAATTTAAAAATTGTCGTCACGTTTAAAGGGAAAGAGAAACCATTTATTGAATTATCCTATCGAATTACACCTGAACCAAACTTGCTTTTTCTTTGGTAAACAGACTCCACAAATTGTTAGGTAAAGCGACTTGTCGTGTCGACTCGTCTTTGAACTGAGACAACTTGTCTCATTCAGTTACCAAACAAGTAAATTCTTGTTAAGAAAAAGTAACTTTGTTCGAATAAAGAAAAAGCTCTTGTGCAATTATTTCCGATGAAATTCGTCCGTCACCGACTGAGATAACGGTCAGAACAGGTGCCTTACATATCTTTTGAATTAAAGGTTAAAGTCACTGAAATAAAAAATATAGGATTTTCCTGACGCATACAGTTAGAACAAGTTCGATAAAAAAATTCAAGTCGGTCCTCTTTTTAAGAAGTTTTCATTTTAGACCATTATATACAGGATTGTTCAAAAGCATGGAAGCAGTTGAAAAATACTCAAGCTTTATGTTCTGTATTTTTTTTAAACTTTAAACTTCGTTTGTTTTCAAGATGAAAGGCTAACTGTTTTTTTTAATTTTTCAAAAAGCTTTCATAACAATGTATTCACTATTTACAATCATTAAATCGGAGTTATTCGATGTTCTAGAAATAATATCTTCTAAAAAATTGCACTATTTAAAAACGGAACATTTGACTACTCGTACTATTTAAAAAAATCAAGTTTCATATGAAACAAGTTTTAACAATAATTTTGGGAAGAAAAATACTGACATAAAATCATAAATATTGAAAAAAAAAAAGATTGCATTAAGTTTTATGTTTACCCACTATTAACTGCACATGTTAGAGATTTATCCTTGTGATCCAGTTTTTCAGTGCAGCATTGGTTTTAAATATTAACTTTATACATCGTTAACATCGATAAAAGTATTGTTCAATCTACTGTAGACATCTTTTATGACATCAAAGTACGTGTTTTTGCTACAAATTTGTAGTTATTACATCAATAATTTAAAACGTAGTTTAGAAACATGAAGTGAAGCTACTCGTATATCTTTCCCATTACATTTAAGTGTTGTTTTAGAATGATTCTTTCTATGTCATACACGCACGAACAAAAATATGTTGACTGAATTATCGCTATATAAATGCGAATTATACCATGTGGGTTTTAATACATTTATTAGAACACGTGGGTGGTCACAGGTTGCTTATCGTTAGTGAATAGTGGTGTAGTATTTATGTTTGTACATCATACAACCCAACCCCAAGTTGTTTGCGAACCCAGCGAAGTGATAAATTAATGTAATTGTTAGCAATAATCTAGAGAGCCTACCTTCTTGATATAATGGTAGAGTTTGCTTTATTAGACCGCTGCAAGACATTAGAGTGAAATTTTAGTAGAGGAGAATTAACTCACTTGTTGCCAGTTAGCTAAGAAATGTTTGCCGTATTTGAATAATCAACGTTACGATTAATGAGCTCTTGTAACTAGCAAGTAAACGTTAAAAGTAAAATGATTACATTTTGTGGTTTATCCATCATGTAAATATATAATTTTTGAATATAATCAAATTTAAAATAACGCTGGTTTCTGGGTAAAATTCCTATAATTATTCAAATAAAATTTCGGTTGAATAATACCACTACCCACAGGCCATGACGTATATAGTAGGTTTATTTACGTACATGCATAATTGATCCTTTAGACTTATTCAATAACCATAAACGTTAGAATGGTATTTTGTGATAATTCGTTATGAGGGTATAATTAACAATGTGCCCGATAAATTAATTTAACTATCAGTCTTGATACGATAAAAAATAAATACTATTAAAGTAAAAAAAGTTACATATTTTAATACAATTCCTACCACAATATTTTTTTATTCGTTTTGCTGATAAAAATGAAAAACATTTCGGTGTGTGGGTATTTTTGATGTAGGCAGATGATAAAACTAATAATGATTTGTGAGGAATTATCTGCCGGCGCTTTTCGAAATCTGAATTAACTGCCACTAATTACGTCACGAATATCTAAATTTATTGGTGTTTTACTTTTCAATCATAAAAAGTGTGGTGATGCATTTGTGTTTGTATCGTATGACAATGTTTACAGCATTGATTTTTGTGGCATTAGTATTAGTTGGTAAAAATGATGTAAACATCATACATTCGATTAAAATTAAACGGAATCAAAATGGAATTGATTAGTGACAAAAAAAGAGAAAATAGTAATAACATCAATAATTTAAATGTTTATAACAGCACCAAAGGTTAATTACTATTACTATTGTATCTATACTTATGTTGATTTATCGATTTTTGAAATTGTTTTTAAAGCGTTATTCTTTAAACTAAAATCGCTGACGTTGACTATCTCAATATTTCATTTTTTTTATCGAAAACATTCTCTTGCAATTAAAAAAAAATAATAAGTTTGCGTCGCAACACCGACTCCATACATGTTCTACATTTGCAGTGTACAAAATGAAGCTTCCCCCCTTCAAACTAAAAACAGTGGCGTTTGCATAATTTCAATATTTCTATCCGTTCTGAAGATATAGGTGTTTTATCTAGGAGACTTGGATATAACGATCCATTGTTACATCACGCACGACATATCTACTTAATTACTCCTATTTCATATTTATGTTGCGAAACAAAAGAAAATGTCACGTTTTACAGCTTTACGGTTTACTTAATTTGTGAATATTTTATTGTCTGCTCCAGATGGGCCTGGTTTGTCAGGTTTTATTGGACTTATAAGTTTCTTTTGCAACTTTCTATCTTTGACGTAACACTTGAAAATAACTTTTTTATTTTTATTTTTATTGTTATTAAAAATACATATATAAAAAAATAACAGAAACGACAATAAATCTTAATGAGGTAGAGCAAAGTGCGATAAAGTTTTAACACATTAATTTTTTTGGAATCTTTTTTTAAGTTTCACATTTGTGCGTGCATTGCCTAAAATGGTTTCGGATCAAGAAAGGATAAATATGTACATTTTTACTTTGCTTTAAAGAGTTCTGTAAACTAAAAAACCGTTTTTTAGTCCTAATTTATTAATGTACAACAGAGTACAGAACTGAATCCTAAGATGTTCTTAAATTTTTTGGAAAATTAGATTAATGATTTCTAACGTAATAGGCAAAATGTAGGGACTTATTAGGACTATTAATTATATTATTAATAAGTAGATTGGTCAATAGGTAAATACGAAAGATGAACTAATTTCAATTAGAAACTTAACTGTTTAAAAATTAAAGTAAAGATTTAACTACATCAACAAATCGAAGTCCTTTTCACGTGGCTATATCGACATCAATACCGAGAGTTGGGTTAAAAGAAGCAGAATTGTATATGAGAAAGCAATCCAGAGACGGCAATACAAAGTTTGCTAAGTAAAGAGCAATCGACCAGAGTAAAGTAATTTTTGAAGTACGATCAGCAGTAAATAAACGCGTCTGTTATTTTTCAGTTTTTTAAAGAAAATTTTCGTGAGGAAAATCTCTGACGGGATAAGAACCTAGTTTAAATATAAAGTATTTTGCAAACCTTCGTCGAATCTTTCTAATGACTTGAATGAAAATTTGTGATAAAATGGAGGCTGTGATGAGCGCACGTTAGCTTGTCCTATATGTTAGCTTTCTATATTAGCTTGGTATCTATCATCTCCTACGTGCGGTCATCACAGTCTCCGTTTATCTGAAAAGTTTTGAATCATACTGCAAAATAGGTACACAGATAAATTAATGCTATTAAAGTTATTTTCCCATTGTGTAAAAATCCAAGAGATTTGAGAGCTTTATGATTATCAGAAAGGGCATTAACATGTTTACGAGAAGTGAGCTTACAGTCAAATGTGATAGGTAAATCCCGAATTATATAATAATATATCCTTCCCAAAACTGTGTTAATCACGTAGAATTTGTGCATTT